TACTTTTTATTCACTACAAGAAATTACCACAATTACCATTGAGGGCAACTAAGTCTGGCCTTGTTTCTTGCCCTTTGTGACTCTCACGCTTCTAACATGTAAATACAATCTGCTTATTCCCTAACAAAGTGAGGAATAGGTTCAAGTTACTCAGTTACTATGAGCAGCTTCCAGAGAAAAAGAAAGAAAAAAATGTGATTAACCACTGATTAAACATTAATTAACCACTGATCAACTCAGCTGCCATTTCCTAATGCCAGCATTAAGCAACTGGTAACAGAATTATTTATTTTCCCTAAGAATTGTGGGTATCATCTATTGTATTACAAGAAAATGGAACATGACGAATAAACTGCTTGCAAGGAACATGAAAACTTTGACTATGGTGGTGACTTCCTTTTCTAAAAATTTGTTTCTATGGTGTACTATTCTCTATACAAAATGACATAAAAGAGTTAAGACCTTGCTATTTATATTTGTCAAAATAAAGACTGGTAACAAACCCTTAACACACCGCTATGTGTGTCTGTGTATATATATATATATATACATCCATATCTATGTCCAGTCAAGATAGATAGGTCTTAATCATGAATTCAAACACTAACAAGATGACTATATAAAACAACATGAAACACATTATTAGAAATGAAATACAGCATGTTATGAAATGCACTGGGAATAAAGATGATGTCCTGTGGAGTAAGTGATTTACTGGGCTCTACCAATTAATTTCTATTATGATAATATCATATAATGGTGATAGCCTAGTACTCTGAGTATACTGTGTCTGGAAAGCTAAAAAACTTATAAGAACTTAGTAATTTTTTAACAGGATGAGATGATAATGGAACTTTACTGGCACCAGTATTGATCTGCACTTCATTATGCTAAAATGCACAAGCTACTTTTTGGTTCACACGCCTTCTGTACTGAAAGGGTGATTTTTCTCTTAAATTTTTTTTTTTTTTAATGAGAGTTAATATAAAGACCAGAAATGTAAGGGTGAGCAGAAGTCCTCTTCTCCTTCTTGTGGTACATGCAACACAGCCAGTATTAGCATTTAAGATTAAATTTTCAACAGTGTACCTCTAAGTGCCTAGCATCCACATTTGGGTCAGGTTTTTCAAGATGCCAGCAGCCTACTAAGCAGATGCACAGAGATCAGATTTTCAAATGTGCTGACATATTCTGACACTCCAGTTCCTTGCGCTAGGTCTTAGATGGGAACTGAGCTTCTTTTATAACTCTGGTCTCAGTTGTGACTCCTAAACTCATCTGCAACATTTGGCCTGGAGGCCCAATTTAGTCCTTACTGATTAGGCAATTTCAAAAAGCTGCTCACCTGTGACTCCCTGCTTAGCATTACCCCAATCAATACACGGGAACATGTCTTAGCAGAGAAGAGATGAGCAGCCCATCTTTTCCATGCTGGAGCGTTCCCGTGCGCATGCCTGCACTTGTCTACATTTCAAGCATATTTTGTAAATATTTCACCTTCCCTTACACATGAGGAAGTAATTGGTACATGCATGTTTTGGAAACCATTCAAAGTTGATTTTCTGCGTGGGTAAACAAAGTGCTCATTGGTGCCAGCTCGCCTCGTTTGGGCGGTTCGAGGCAGAACGCGGGGCAGCGCGTCCCGCGGCTCCCAGGTACCTCCTGGCTGCTGTGTACAGAAGGCAGGGAAAGAAGGGAGGAACTCGTGATACTGGCAGGACAAGGACAATGCCAAGGAAAGAGTGACTTCTCTGAAGTGTAAAGGCTGTGTTAATTACTATCAAATCAATGCAGATGCTTAAATCTAACCTGATAAATTCCATATTTACATATTAAATGAAACTGTGAAGTCATGCCTGTACAGACTTAACGTACGCACGACTGAAATGCCTACACATTTCAGTGCTGTGCTCCTATATGTGCATTTAAACTTCTCAGAGTCTATATGCACCCAGTTTGGAATCAGTGACAATCTACAATGTAGCCACATCTTGCATTTCTGGAAATTTATGGAAGTTGGTGTGGCATTGCCAGCCCTGCATGGGGAATATTTGATAGTGGCTGTCAGAGAATCTCCCTGAAAAACTGCTACTCCTCCCCACCTTTTAGGGACCAAATGGCAGGATTATCTCACATCCAGCACTGCACAAATGGGCTCTGTAGACCTAAAGAAAAGTGTGTGTTTCAATGCTCACGCTACTGAGATTTTTTGGCCAAAACAAAACTTGTGGTATTTATTCAAACAAAATACAATCGATATGAAGACAATCTACAATTTCTTTTTCCTGCCTCCAAACAGCAGCAGGGAAAGTACTATGTATGACATTGTATCATAAATCACTAACACAGATACGGAGCTATAAAACCATCTTTGTCAACTGTTTACAGTAGAGCCAACCTGGGAATCTTTCTAGACAGTGTGGATATGGCAAAAATGTCTGAAACACCCAAGATTTCTTATTATACTCTCCACAGCTATAAAAAGGCTAATATATTTTAAACTGAAAAAATAAACAATGGAAGAAAGCAGAAGTAGCAATAAAAATATATTAAAATGTGAATTGCTACCGGTTGATTTTCTAATGGCATTTTGGTTTTTTTATAGAGCTACATTTTCATTAACCAAGTTCCTATTACATGAAAATAAGCTATTCTGCTTTTGTCTATTAAAAAAAAAAAACCCAAAATTATTTAATTCCACTTAAATTTTATTTAAATTTTAACAATTTTGTAAACTGAAACACTAAGGGCCTGATATCCACTGATGGGCTGTAATTCTGCAGGTGCTATTTTACACCTACAAATTACCGTAGCTGCAGCTGGTAGAAGTTTGGTATCTGCTGTATGCACAACCTGAAGCTGAAATGCTGAATGTCAGCATCTGAAACACTGTTGAAGGGGAAGTGGAATGTCTGGGCTACTTTTTAACTCCTCCTTGCAACAGCTTCATTTTAAGACAGCAATTTTATTTCTTTGAAGATGAGGGAAGGAAAGGTTTTCACTTCAATGTGCCCTGAATTTTAGTATGCTGAACTGTATTTATCTCTGACATTATCCTGGTTGTAATTTCCAGTGAAGTTAATGAAGCTACAGATGATTTTGATACACTCTATGCACAGTGTATGACTAAACTTTTTTTTGGCAGCAGTTATTTTTTATTATTACTTAAACACTGCATATATTTCCTTTTTTTTTTTGGGTGGGGGGGGAAGTGGGAGTGGTATTTAACATCATATCTGTCTATGCTAGCCCTCATCCTTTTCGTCAAGTAAATTGCAGAAGTATTTCTAATTCAGTCTTTGAATTACAGAATTTAAATAAATACAAATGCCCTTCTCCATTTAGACTCCTAATTGCAGATAACTTTCTTGCTCTGATCATTAAGCATGACCAATTTTGAGAAATAACCTTCCTCGAGCTGCTAAGCATCCTCAAGTGTCTATTTACAATGGTCAAAAATTATAAATAGATCTTCAATTAGGAATAATTTTGATCTTTGAGAGGCCTTTCAGTATTTTGTTAAATCTGGAATAAGATAATATTCTAAAATTAAGGGCAGAGTTAGTGGGGTGGAGAATATTTTACAAAGAAACTAATAAGCATTTTGGCTTTGCATGTTTTTGAATTATATTTCCAATTAAAAATGCAGAGTGCTAAATCACATTACAAAGATAAATAGGAAAGTACAACTTCATTGTTGAAAACAATTTCCCTCCTATCAATCTGAGGATTCATGCATCAATATTGTAGATGAACTGTTAATTACAAAATCAATTAAAAAATTATTTCTAAAAACAGTCACGCGTCCCGGCTCTCAGGGGGGCAATTTGGGCAGAAGGTCTCATCTCACTAGGACCGCGCCAAATCACAAGTCGTCATCCACAAGTAAGCAAAAGCAATCTGGTTTTTCATTTTTCAGCGCGGCTGAGCCCAGCCTGAGATTGATCGTCACATATGGCCCCAGAAAACAAACTGTCAATACCTTGAATGCTGCAGAATTTGAACAAATAGCCGTCCGCCCATTCAAGCCACTCATTGCATCCCATTTAACAGATTTTATTGACAGTTTCCTTCTTGTAATTAAAGGGAAAACTACTGGCCAGCAACCAAGATAAAGTTCAAAGATAGGGTCAAAACAAAAGCAGATGGAGGGGCACGGTGTGACTGTCAATGGAACATAGCATCAGAGCATGTTATTGACACACAGGTATCTAATGATCGGCACGTCATTAAAGAGGGATCTATCGTGAACTTTATGCAAATGCTAAAAGGGACTTAAGACCACAATAAAGCATTAGGGAGACACAAAAAGAAAAACAACAAAGCACAAACGATTTTTACTTATCTGACAGTATTCACTGGTTCAGCACTTTTAAATTCAAATGCAGGAAAAAAAAATTCTTTCTAAAATTTTTTAACTCTTGCTGCACAGGTAATAATTTTTTGCAGAAGCATTCTCGTAAATGCAAAGGATGCGTAATGTAAGGTGTGGCCCTTGTGAGATTCAATACGGATTTCCTCCCTCCTCCCATATTCTGAATTCAGTCTATCAAATTAATCAGTAGCTCCCTTTAAAGAGAAAATATATAGTATATTCTCCAGCATCCTTTCTTTTGCTTTAATTGCAATGATTAGACTTGTCTGCATTATGAAGTGGATTTAGGAGAATAACACCTATTTTCATTTGAAGGGATCTCTGCCTGTAAAACACTCTCCAAATAATACAGTGGAATATTCTCCACTCCCTTAGGAACATATTCCACAATTACTTTGAACCAGCAAGTTGTTCTTAGCTTGAACTGCTTTATTTGTTGCCTTTTAGATTTAAAGTCTGATTAGCAATTTCTTATTCTAAAATCCTGTTTGAAACCAGCCCACAGAAAAGAAAGAAAGAAAGAAAGAAAGAAAGAAAGAAAGAAAGAAAGAAAGAAAGAAAGAAAGAAAGAAAGAAAGAAAGAAAGAAATTAAAAATGTAGCAACTGTAATGCCACTCTGCCAACCTGAATTAGCAAGTGCTATAGCTTTGAGGGTGACAAACTCTTCTTTCTCCAGCTTCATGCTTTTGTATTTCTTTACCAGCTGCAGTATGGCATTGTTAAGGTCAAGAAGGCCTGCCAGTTTGGACTGGTCTTCATCCATAATATAATCTTCAGCATATACAAGCTCATCCTCAAAAGAAAGTGACCGGTATACAACACCGAGAATCAAGATCTCCATCCAAGCACTCTGCAGAAGGCTCATCTGGTCAGCTAGAGACAAAGTGGAGAATCCTGAATATGAAAAAATAAAAATACAGGAAAAATATTAAGCACATTTGGAAATCTAATCATCTTTTTGATTTATTTTTATACACATTGTGACAAAGCATGCACACATTCTATTATTCTCCCTTCAGCTTTTGTGTTCTCCTCCCCATCCTACTACAGGAAAGTAAATCAATATAAAATCCAACATTTTCTAATCAAAAGAAAAGTTTTAAATAAGCAAGAACTTGCAGGCTCTTTCTGTAAAAATCATAATAATTTGTGGGGTACTGCACTGGCAATCTGTGATTTGTATATCTTCTTTGTTGTGAAACACTTGTGCTTAGTTGTAAAAACCTAATGCTGTGACACAGGGATCTCCCCACTCTATCCACCACTACCAACTACCATAATCCAAGAAGGATAATTTATGAGAAAAAATAGAAAGCTTTATTAAAAGGAGAAATTTGATGTTTTAATAGAATTAAGGTAGGGATTGAAAATAAAAAAATTCTTCTTGAACTTTAACTTCAGGGACAAGAGAACACCCACCCTTCTCAGAAAAGACCCTAATCACTTCTGTTCTGGCTCCTGGCACTGCTACACTTGTTGAAATAACAGGGTGGCACACCAAAGTGCCAACTGAATAGCAATCACACCATCTTTTTTCTGAGGGCAACCAAACATTTATTAAATGCCTCTTAATGACTTTAACTTTTGCTTGTTTTTTTTCCCCCATCTCCCCGCTGTCTCTCCTAATAGGATCACTAAGGGCAAACATCTTTGCTGCCTTACCTTTTAGACTCTTGTTTACAGTACCTGTTAATTTATTATATCAAACTGCTAAAATCCCAATCACATTAGGTGCTAGAAAACAATATGGGAGAGGAAGTGATTTTCCTGGCCTGTTGGTGAAATGCAGCAGTTTGCCAGTTGGCACTATCAACCACAAGTACTTAATAAAATCATCAAAGGGGATTAGTCAAGCTTTTCTTAAAGGGTCTTAAGACATGTCTGAGGCTTTCATTTAGTTGTTTATGGAGTTGCTTACATGTCCTTTGACAGGGTTCCCGCTGTAAGAACATTCTTTTTGGCGTTCAATTACACTTAAATGCATTTTTCTGTTTTTAAAGTCAAGAGTTACAGTCATGCAAGAATATATCATAAACTAGCAAATCTGCAAGGCATCTACTCCAAACAAGATTTTCTCCGTAAGCACTAAGCAGCAAAACTAATACAATAAAAAAGAAAAGCCCACATCCAAACCACCAGGCATCCATAAAAAATGAAACATAAAACTGGCTGCATGTGCTCTCTCATTTTTCTCTCCCTCCTTATTTGTTTTCATTTTCTCTTACTGTCTTTTGAGTCCTGTGATAGAACTGTAGCTCTCTGCCTTAAAAAACAAAAAAACAACAACAAAAAAAACCCAAAACAAAACAAAAAAACCCCCCAAAAAATCCAAACAAAAACCAAAACAACAAAACCTGATCCAATGACAACAGAAAAGCCTTAAAGATGTGACAGTGGAAAATAACACATCTGTGATTAAAATAAATAAGATGGAGAAGAAATAATAATTTCAAAGGTTGTAGGGAGGAATTCAGGATTTCAATTAGCTCCAACATTTCTGTTCCTTGCCGGCTTTCAAGAACCAGTTTTTCTGCAGCAGCAGATGGACAGAGAATGTAGCCTGCAGCACCGTCCTGTGACAGCCCCATTCTCCCTCCCAGACACTGCTGTTAGTAAATAGATTTACACATTCTCCAATCTCCACACATCTTTCTGCCGAATAATTAAAAGCAGGATGATTAGTTTATTGAGTGGAAGGAGGAACTTTTTTATTGAGGTCCATCCATGATTTTATCAGGGCCAGCACTTTTACGGTTGTCATGAGGGTGCAGGCATCCAATTTTTCTTATCTGCCTGATTAATACAAACGCTGTTTCAGGACGCATTAATTAACAGATACAAATCTACGTTCTCATGGAAGGATCAATACAGAGAAGAAAAGAGGCATCAATGTGAATTTAGTGCTGATGATGGAGAAGGCACTCTATTGACATTTACGTGCATAGAAACTTTAAAGTTGCAGTGGAGCCCTTTTGTCCCTGTGATTTACAAATTAACAATTTTTCGAGTATAACAATGTTTCACACACTTCTGAGAGGTTTAATTAAGCAAAAGCAATAAAATCTGTTTTGATTAAAAAAAGTTTAACCCGCAATTTCTCTCTGTATTCTTTTGTTTTCCTGAAAACCCCCCAACTTCCTTCTTTTATTCACTTATCTATTTTCAAACAGGTTCTTTGGCATTGGTTTTATTTTTTAAAAAATAAAAAATAGTATGTTTCAGTAACATTTATTGTGTGCCACAGTCAAAGAAAATTACATATGCCCTGTGAGGGGGGAAAATGGGATGTTGATATTATTTATTGTACTGCACTCTTGAAAAATCTGCATTCTGGAGCAGTAAATATACCAGTTGTTTTTATATGACACATAAAAAATCAAAAGAAATTTTTTACATTATAGGAAAACTGGCAAATATAAAGCATGCTGTTCCACCCTTCAATAATAAATCAAATCAACATGACTATTTTGTTCCTGATCGAAGTAACTTTCCCTTGAAAGCCTGTTCAGTGAAAGCATGTTTTAACTTTTAAAGGTATCCCTCATGGGAATGTAAAGCTGAATCAAGTTGTAATTAATCTGGGTTTGTTTTGTTTTTTCATAAAATGTGAAAGCATCCAGCATGTCTCTTGTACCACACCAATGCCCTTTAATATGTGTTCAACAAGTCACAGTTAAAATAACAGATAACACAAGCTTATATATTTATATACAGAGATTTATTTTTAATTGTTTGGAGAAGGTTATACCTATTTCATGCCAAACCTGAGTCTGTGAGGTTTTGCTATGTGAATCCCCCAGATCAACCATGTTCTCTGACAAGGGGATATTTTCGATATTAAATTGTAACTATTTTTTAAGAAGTCTCCAGCTTGGACCCTTCCAGCATTCTGACCAGTCTTAATCTCTCCAGTCCCATCTCCAAGCTGTGTCCAAACCACCCTCAGATGCTGCATGATGGTGTGGGCTGGAACTTTGTCATGCATTGTGTGGGTCCTTAATCCTTCAGAGCCTTGCAGGTCACTGCTTTCAACACAGAACTGTGTAATGACATTTTAAAATACAATGTTGTTCCCCTTTCTCCCCCTTTATCATGCACCATGCTGGTGACAACTTTGATCTCTCTCCATCTCCCTGCCCAAGTCAGAGCCATCTGATGTATCTGAGGCGTTTGCTGGCAGGATGACTCCGTACCTTGACCTGCAGTTAAACAGCGTGTTTATCTGCGATACAGCACACTCCAAATAAACCAGATGACAGTCTGCAACAACGTCATTTGGAAGGATTGAAAGGCTTCTCAAGAGTCAGGTACCCCTGAGGTAAGAAGCTTGAAGGAAGCATGTTTTGTGCCAACCCTCCTGCCATCTTCCACTAGACGCTCGTGTGCTTGACAATGATGCCATGGGCACTTGTCAAGATTTTTTTTTTCTTTTTGCCTAGCAAACTGATGCACTTTGCAGTCAACTTACAAAAAAGGCTAAGCATTTGAAAGTGTGAAGGGCAAAAAATATCTGACGGCTAGTCTTCAAAAATACACTTTCATTTCAGAAAGCATAAATGTTTATTTCCTGAGCTGAGTGTTGACAGAAATAGGCTGCAGCGCAGGCATATGAATTTAACCCCTGGTAGGCATTCTGTTCACTGTGATTTTTATGTGGCTGAGTGCAAGCATTGTAAATCTATGGGGTGTCTCCTAGTATCAGTTAACAATAGCCTTGATTTGCTGGTTACAGATTTCCTTCCTTTTCTCTCCTTTCTTTCTCCTCCTTTCAGGGACTAAAATGTTTCTTCTGCTAAAAATAGATACTTTTCTACAGTGTATCACACTCAAATTGTAATTATGCCGGAATGAGTCACTGAGATCACTGAGTGTGGATTGAGAAAAAAGGTTGATTGAGCAACTGAACATATGCTTGTTTTTTTTTTCCTTTTACATACCAGTAAACCCAAAGCTCAAAGGAAACAGACATAAATAGGTAAAAAGGCCTTAGCATTTTTATTATAGGAACAAGGGGCACTGAGCTGACTGCACTCTGCAGTGCTCAGCACTCCAAGCCAGCTCCAAGCACAGTTCACAGCCTTTTCAACAGGGCTGTTTAAACCACAGATCTTTTCAAATATCAGCACATGCACCACTTGCTCTCTATTTCACATTGCACATAGGTCCATGCTAAGCAGGGTAAATCTTTTATATTCCTGAAGACCCTTTCCTCTACTTCATTAAGATGGACTTCGTGGACAGTAACTCACTAGGGGCCAGAGTGAAGCAGCTGCAGATGGTCAAGTGCTGAACTAAGATCTGTGCCTTACACACAGCACTTCGAGAACTACTGGCCAAAAAAACAAAAGGCAGTGGCCGGACTTACCATTGTTTTCATCTGTAAACATTTGATGCAATGCCTCAATCAGACTATTCAGACTTAAATCCTAGAGTTTATTTCACTTTGCAGGGACTGAGTTTCCCTTCCCCTCTGATATGTGTTTAGAAATCTGAACATTTGATCAAACCAGGTATGAAATTGCTGGCAAATCTGGGAGTTGCTTGCCTTTTCTGGTAATTGCCTTCCATTTATTTTACCAGTTGTTTGTGTGATTGTTAACTTTATGACTAAAATATTCCTCTTGCTTGCCCAGGTTTGTACTTCAAATATCTTCATTTACATTTTTTATAATCAAAGCTGCACTTGCTCATGACATGTTCACTCGTGTGTTACAGATGCAATACATTTACACAGTTGAAATATCAAGAGTAGGATTTTTAAATTATTTACACTTAATTTTGATAGATTAACTTCTTTCTAAATGTTTTATAGGTACTGATGTTTCCAGCATAGGTTGTTTTTTTTTAATTTCAAAAATGATGCATAGTCACCATTGTCAAAAGAACAAACTGAT